GTGCCTGGCCCCACCGCCTGAAGAGTGAGTGACTGTCCAGGCCTGGAGCAACTTCACCGCCGCCTCCCCCCCACCCCCCCCACTTAAAGTCTCAAGGCTCTACCCCACGTGACGTCACAGCGAGGGGTGGAGGCGTGTGTACGCGTCCTGTCCTGGGGCCACTGCGTCCTCTGCTCAGGACTAAGGGTGGGAGCTGCAGTGAGCAGGGGGGCAGCGGTGTTAGGGTGCTGGGGTTCTCACGGGGGCGCGCGGCGGGTGGTGTCCCGAGAGGTGAATGGGCGCCAGGCGCCCTGGGCTCCAGACCCGGGCGTGTTCTTATGGAAAGGCGTGTGTTACTGCGAGTGTGTGCACCGACCTGGAACGCAGCTGCCGGGGCTCCTCAGTCCCCGCAACACACACACACACCTCACGGTGGCCAGCCTTCGATATCCCCCCTCACCTCCGGAGGGACTTCCCAGAGAGGAGGGGGGGTGAGGGGGCGGGGGCGGGGAAAGGCGCAGGTATGGTTCCTACAGGATGACAGCCCTGGCTCCTGTCCTCTGTGCCACCTGAAGCAGGTGTCACCGTGGATCCATGATGAAATGAGGTTAATGAGACCCTCCTCACCCAGGCCTGTCCAGGGAGCGCCTGTTGGGCGGGAGCAGCCAGCCGTCAAGCAGCCCGAAGCCTTTTGAATCCTGGACCAGGGGGTGTGAGGTCATGTCATGTCTCATCATTTAACTCCACGGGGATATCAGGGCTCAGAGAGGATCATGACTTACTCCAGGGCACACAGCACATTAATAGAGGTGATGGACCCAAGTCAGCTTCTAACTCCCACCCCAAAGGCGGCTGGGGCTGCAGCAGCAGCAACTCTAACGGGGGAGTTGGCCCAATCCCTGGAGGCTCAGGGTCCCTTGCTCAGGCATCTGCCCTCAATTCCCTCCAGCCAACACCCAGGCCCACTCTTCCCTGGGGTCCCTCCCTCCTTCCTGGAGCCCAAATGAACAAGGGCAGAGAGTGTGTGAGGTCTGACTGCAGGAAGGTGAGGAGGAGAAGAGACCCTTTATAGCGCCCAGAGAGTGGACCCTGGTGCCCCTGTGGCCTCAGTAGCCCCCTCTGCACAGTGGGCATGAGGTCTTCACTCTACACAGCACCCTGCCCTGCCCCCATCCCCACTGCCTTTTCTCTCTGAAGAGAGCCCCTCTTGGTGGCAGGGAGGGGGCGGGCAAGGATGACCTAAGCCTCCTGGCTCAGAGACAAAAGGGGCCCATTCCTAGAACTACCCATCCCTGAGGGACTGACCAGGGAGGATCCCCAACTGTCAGGTGGAGGAGTGGCCTGAGCAATGGTAGGCTGAGAGAGCCCCCCCTCCCCCATCTCTGCCTGCAGCCTCCACAGCTGTCAGGAATTAAAGGCTTGAGGCTGCTGGGGGTGCATGGGGGTGGGCCCAGGGGGAAAGCAGTCTGGCTGGACAGCAAGAAAAGAGCAGCCAGCCGGGGGCAGGAGGCAGTCTGGGTCAGCCAAAGCCCTGTCTGACCTGAGCTGCCCCCTGCCTGCCCCCCTCGCTCTCCTCCACACTGCAGGGGCAGGGTCTGCTTGGGGCTGACATCTTCTTCTGCATGGAGAGGGATAGAGCAGGACCCTCCCTGAAGTCAGCATGAGCCCAGGGGCAAGAAAAGGTATCAGCACAAGCCAGGCTGGGGTATGTGTGTCGCTTTCTTGTTAGCTGTTGGGGAAATTGAGGCCCACTGTGACACAGAAACCAGTTCATAATCTCAGGGGAAGGCCTCACCCTAGTATGCCCCATACTTGATGCAGCAGGCCCAGTCCCTGCTTGGGCCATTGTGAAAAACCATGGTTCCAGGTCCCATACCCCTGAATTTAGCCTTTTCAAGCCCCATCCCAAAATTCTGCACTCTCCCCAGTACCCAGGACTGCCTCTGGTGAGGGGGGGTTCCTGCTCAGAGACCTTCCACTGTTGGAGAAGGACAGCCAGAGGCACCAAGGAGAGAGAGAGAGGGCCTTTCTTTAAAAATTCTAGAAAGCAAATTGCTTCCCAAGACTTGTGCTCTGGCACAAGTTGTCTGGTTCTGGCCTGATGTCTAGGAGTGCCCAAGCTTGGAAACTTCTCTTCTCATCAGTCCTGGGAGAAGAGGGCATGTGTAGGCACAGGGACTTGGCATGGGTATAGATGAGGCCCAGAGTGCGTCTGTCTGTAGCTGGGGCCCCCAGCCCCATATGACCCATGCCATGGCCAAGCCCCTATCAGCTGCCTTCAGGCCCCGCCCTGGCCCTGCCCTAGGCCCTGGCCCTCTGCCCAGCTCCAGCCCCCGCAGCCGCCTGAGACCACAATTACAGGGGCCACTAGGGGTGGGGGAGAGCATGGGGATGAAAGGCAGCTCAGAGAATGGTTCCAGCTGTGGAGGCTCTGGAGGAGGTGACATGGGGGTGGGGTGGGGGGCATCAAAAGGGTGAGAACAGGTGGGACCCTCATGGCCCCAGCCCAGCTCTGGGTCAGCCCTGACACTCACCTGGATCTGTGTGTCTTAGTGGAGAAGAGAAGGAAGGGGCCCCAGGTGGATCTGGAGGCTCACCCTCCTAGTATCCAGCCTGTAGGGGGCACCACCCCTAAGCCAGGTAAGGGGGACAGGAGGCTGCTACCTTCTCCCCAACTCCTGGTATGCTTGGCCACTGAAGGGAATGGGAGGAGCTCCAGAGCCCCAGCCTCAAGCCAGCTCTGGGCCCTCCAGCCTGGCCCCTCCACCCAGCTGCCTGTGTTCAGCTGTTCCAGTGTGGTCATGCACACATCTGGGGCACCTCTGGGCTCTTCCCCCATCACCCCAGACCCAGATGTCAGTCAGTGGGGGCCTTGGATGCCTCAGGCTGCCTGGGGCTATGCAGCTGGCTGGGCCAGGAAGGGGGTGTGGGCACCAGACTCCTCTCCCAGGGCCCCCTTCCCAGGAAGCAGTTCAAGAACACAGTGTTCGAGAACACAGGTCGAGAACACAGCAGTTCAGAACCTTGGAGCTGAAAAGGACCAGGCCAGTGGCCACCACTGAGTACATGCTGGGCAGGCGGCACTCATGCCTCTTACCCTTCACAGCGGGCAGCTTTCCCCGTGGAGATGCAGCTCGACTGGCAGTTTACAGATTCTAGCAGCCAGGCAGCCCCATTTCAAGGAAAACTGAGCCTCAGCGAGATTAAATGACTTGATCTAGTTCAAGCTGGTAGTCTCTTGGCACTCTCCCCGCGTCTCTGAATTCCTTTGAGCCTTCTGAAGGCGTTGATGCACACTCCTGCCTGTTTTTCCCTCTCTGGCATCAGAGAATGGGGTGCCTAGCCTCGCCTGTATGTGCTGGGCGCGCGCGCGCACACACACACACACTCCAGACACCCGGACCCTGGAAGCTTGACCCCAGCAGTCCTTATGCATATGCATGCCTCTGCTCTGTCCTTCAGTCGGGCATTTTCACTGGCTGTCAGCGTTCCCCAGGGGTCCACAGGTTCTGCTGTTTCTTGTAGACAAGATGGGTTCCGGTCGCCCTCTGGTGGTCCATGAGAGACACGCAGTAACTCAGAATGAAAAGTACCCAGCAGAGGTAGGAAAGGAACCCAGGTGTGTGGGGAGGGAGGGAGAACTGGGGTGGGGTGGGGCGCGTATTAAAGTGCTCAGCTGCACTAGCCCAAGGACAGGCCATTGGAACGCATCAACTGCTCTGTGAGAACAAGAACTAGCAGCCTTCTGCCATAAGGATGACAGCCCCAGAAACCCCATGGGGACAGGTCTCTGTCTTATAGGATCACTGAGCCCGGACCAACTCCAGAGCAGCGGTTGCAGGGGGTGGGCAGAGCTCTGGGGAAGACAGAGATGCCGGCATGAGCCCTGCCCTCGGGGAGCTTCATTTCTCCCTGGTGTGGCCCATGAAGCCAGCTTCACCATCCACCTGGGAAATTCAGCATGCATCCAGGGAGGCCTCGACCCAAAATTCTGTCTGAGCGTTTCCTGGTGCCCTCACCTTTGTCCTGCATGCTCTCCCTTGGCAGGAAAGGAACCCAGATGGTCCTTTCTTCCCACTGTTGCCTGACCCCCTCCTCACACATGCCTCCGACCTGGGGCCCTGAACATTCTGTGGTGGGTTCTGGAAGCCAGGTTCGATCCTGGCAGATACAAGATAGGCTTCCCTCCTTCTGTTTCATTTGAAGAACTTGTACTCCTCCCTGTGGCTCCACTCCAGGTGGTCCTGGGCTGGGGGGGGCACTGTCCATCCCAGGTCAGGTCATGGATGTACATCTTCCTGGACACCCTATGGGCTCAGGTGGAAGCAAGAGGCCTAAGCAGAAACACCCGGAAATAACTGGGAAGGCTGTTCTTCCATTTGAATCACTGCTCTAAGAATGGAGGCAGGGGGCTGCCAGGTGGGAAGTGTGTAGCCAGAGAACTTGAGGGTGGTATGCAAAGAGTAGCCAAGATGAGCAGAAACAATGGAGGGGGTGGGGAAGATACAGGCAGAGGAAAAGAGCTGAGAAGTGAATTGAACCCCTGTGTTCAGCTGTGCCTGAGTTCAGACTCCCCCTAGACATCCCTGGTAGAGGCTTCCTTCATTTCCTTTCAGCCTAAGGTGTTCTTGTTGGTATCTCCATGGGTAATCATGCCTTGACTGGCACCCACACGCATGTGCTGTCTATATCCATCCTCCCAGTATCTCTCATTTAGTCAATAAAAAGCAAACACACGTCGCTGTGCGTCAAATGCTCTGCAAAGTGCTTTTTCTATCTCAAAAGAGACCAAAAAAAGTTCCTAGCAACTCTCTGAGGGTGTGGCTTGGGTTGTGATGGATGCAAGATCTTGGACATTCCTTCCAGCAGGAGGTGAATGAAGTCTGTCTCCTCTCCTCTTGAATTCTGGCTGGTTCTGTGACCTTGCTTGACCAATAGAATCTGATGGTGGTGACGCTGTGTAACTTCCAGGGCTGGACAGCTTAAGAGAAGAACAGCGTCTACCTTCAAGTTCAGCCGAGCTGCTCTTGAAAACCGGCCTATTGTAAGAAGTCTTGGACTGTCCAGCTCAGCCCAGCCCAGGACCCCACCACTGGCAGCCAAGTGACTGTTCCCACTAGTGTCACCCAGAGCAGAACCACCCAGCTGAGATCTGACAAGTTCTTGACCAGGAGGATCAGGAAAAGGAACCATTAGTGCTTTCAACTCCGACTTTGGGGAGAAGCTAAAAGAGTGGTGTTAGAGCAAGTATGTACATTATGAATTAGGCTGATGCCTTACATACTTATGTACATTATATTAGGTGTATATATTATTAAATACAAGAAGGAACTGTCTCAACATCTTAACAGTAAATGATTTAGCATGCATGAAAAAGTAAACTAACTACTCTGGGACTGTTTGATATGCAGCAGCTAAAACAGGTTGAAATCACTGAAGAAACGGAGGCTACCTGGACATGTTAGACACTTCCATGCAGTAGGGGCTTCAAGCCCAGGGTGTGAGGATCTAAAACTAAAACTGTGCCCTATGTATTAAAGTGGGAGCTATTACCATTATAGGAATTAAAATTAGGGGATCTGAATCCCAGCCATTGTCTCCCTTATCTCTGGAGGAAGACAGAAACATGAGGGTCAGCCCTGGAGAGCCCTAAATGCTGGGTCTCTGTCAGCTCACCTTCACCTCAGCTTCCTGAGACAAACCAAAGAGAAGAGACCAGCTGTCCAAGAGAAATTCCAGGTACCCTCAGGGTGATAAGAGATGGCCAGAGGGTGAGGTTAGTTTTCACTGGACCAAAATCTGGTGTTGATAATATCATATTTTAAATCACTCTACATTTAAAAAAATGCTACCCTTTAATCCTCTAGTTTGGGTGCCTCACACCCCCCCACACACCCCCAAGACTTATAGGACAGAGTAGAACTGCCCCCTGTGAGTTTCTGAGACTGTCACTCCTTACTAGAGTAGAAAACCTCATCTTTCTCCTGTGGAGTGGCTGGTGATTTCAAACTGCTGACCTACTAACAGCTGTACTTGTAACCACTAGGACTTGTAGCCACCAGCCCTATCTATAGAGGCAATAAACAGATCAGTGGCAGCCAAAGGCTCAGGGGCGGGAAGGAGAGATGAACTGTTGGCCCACAGACATTTTTAGAGCAGCAAAAGTATTCTGACTGGTACTGTAATGGTGAATTGTGGATTTATGCTTAACACAGTAAGGCCTATTGTGATCCATGGACTTTCAATAGCAATGGATCAATTGGCTCCTTAATTGAACAAGGCCAGTGCAAGAGGTTAGTAACAGGAGAAAGTATGGGCAGGTGCATAAGAACTCTGGACCTCCCGTGCATTGTTTCTGTAAATAAAAAACTTCTCTAGAAAAGACAGTCTCTTTGTGTTTCCCCCAACCTGCCCAGGGATTCCCTAGGGGACACGGATCTGGCTGGGCAGATAGAGGTGTCCCAATCCCCTAGAAGTGAAGGGGTGGTCCCAGACGCTGCCTTTTGGTCCCCTCCCCCCAGACCTTTTGTCCTGTCCTTGGAAGGACGGCTGCTTCTTCCCCAGCTGGCAGATCTAAGCCTGAGAAGCGGGAGAGGAGAAGTGTGCCCAAGGGAAAGACGATGGTTTTCAGGACAGCCAACCTGTTCCACGAAAGATGGGGACCCAGGGTGCTATCAAAACGACCTGCATTCACACTCTCCTTCCAGAGGCCACAGGAGACACAGTCGTGCCACCGAAGTCTGGGCGCAGTCATTACGAAACGCCTTAAATATTTTTATTGATACTGATCTCCCCCACCCATTCTGTGCCCGCGGTTCTGAGGAGCCCAGCATCCGGAAGCCTAAAGTGTTGCCTTTTCTGTTGACATCTGGGAGGTAAGGCTGGGGGACCGGGCCCATAGAGTGCCCCCCGAGCGTCTCTCCAGCGCCCTGCGCCTTGGCTGGAGGAGGGCATCCCAAGCTTTGGCCTTGGGGTCTCTACAGAGGCCTGGCAGATGGACAAGGGCCGGGCGAGAGGCCGGACGCAGGAAGCGTCCCCTGTGGGAACCCAGAGGTCTCTCCAGCGGCGGGAGAGGCGGAGTTTGGGGAGTGCGGCGGTGGCTCAGAGGCACAAGCTGAGCTCTTTGCGCACGCGGCAGCGGTGGCACTGCACCACGCAGCACCAGTGGAAGCGGCACAGGCAGTTCTCCTCGAGCTGCACGCTCTCCTGGCGGTGCCCGCGGCCGCAGCACAGCAGGTCGCAGCCGCTGAGGTCCGGGGCGCTGCTGTTGCAGGCGCGACCGCGCGTGCCAGGCGAGCCGGTGCGCCGGTTCGGAGCGCAGAAGTCTGGCGAGTCGGCGGCGTAGAGGAGGTCGGCGCGGCTGGGCGGCTTGAGCGTGCGCACGGCGGGCAGCAGGGCCTTGCCGTCGTTGGTGCCCATGACGCGCGAGGCGCCGTGGAAGCGCTCGAGCAGCCGCGCGCCCACCTCGCGGAACGGGGGCAGCTTCTGCCAGCAGGTGCGCAGCGCGCAGGAGCCCGACAGGCCGTGGCACTTGCACTCGGTGCGCGTGTGGCTCCGGACGGCCTATAGGGAGCAGGGGACAGGCAGAGGATGAAGGGTGGGGAGGGTGGAACAAACGAAAGAAGGGGAAAAGGGGGCCGAGAAAGCAGAGTCCTGGAGGGGAGGAGACCAGGGGCGTCTCAACCCCATAGAGAAGATCAGAAACGAGGCCAGCGTAGGCAAAAGGGGGCGTGGGGGAGGCGGGGTGGATGCAGGGTCAGCAGGGGCTGGCGGTGGTTTGGGGAAAAGCAGAATGGGTAGCAGGGCTGAGAATCGCCCCGAGGAGCCTCAGGAGGGGCAGCTGCCTAGGCTCAGCACCCCAACCCCAACCCGCTAGCCCTTTTGTTCCTGCCAGAAAAGTGGGCCGCCTGGGCATCTACCTCCTCCACCCTCCCCAACCCCTCTCAAGAAGTCTAGGGCCTGTCCAGATACCCCTCTCGGGTTGGGCAGGTGGGACCCCTCTTTCCCACCCGCCCACTGCCTCAGGTTCCAGCCTCAGAGGAAGGAGTGGGGGGAAAAACCGGGTAAGGGGTGTTCCTAAAGCCCCCTAGAACACATGCTCTCCTGAGAAGAGAACCCAGGAGTCCTGAAGCTGGGGTGGGCTGAGGGAGAGACAAAGAGTAGCACCCCCCCCTTGGAGATGCATGGGAGCAGGGTACCCAGAGGGGTAGTCTCTGTCCTCCGTCTTTCTAATCCCTTTGCCCCCCACCCCAACCCTTGCTTCAGTCTCCTTTTAAGCCCTTTCCACCCTCCTTCCCTACTCTTGGCTCAGCTTCTAGTCTTCCTCCTGTCCCAGGCCTGGCATCTTGAGCCCTACTGACCCCAAGCCTGGCCCACCTGGCCCATCCCCGAGGTCTATCCTTCCTACCAGGGAGTTCCTAAGGGCCCTGTGTCCCCTCCCAGCCTGCCCACTGCAGCACAGCTCTGGTGCTGCTACATGATACCTTCTTGTAGACTGGCCACATCCCTCCTCTCTCTGTCCAATGTCCACCGATGTGCTCGTTAGTGTTCCAGGGTCCCCTGTCACAGGAGCTCACAACCCGCCACAGGTTCCCAAATCGATGTCCACACGCGGATACCCACTCTTCCTCTCACCCTCGCGCCACACGCCCCCTCCTCCCATCCGCACTCTCCCACGTCCACACTCTCCAACGCAAGCAGTCGGTCACATCCAAGCACCCTATGTTCATGCGTTGGCACATACCTCTGAGTGCCCACACGCTCTACCATGCCCGCCCCACCCCCGTCCACGCCCACCCGTTCTGCCATGAGCTCTCGCCTCTCACCAGCCGGCCCGCCTCGTTGTTGTGCAGCTGCACGAGCGCACGGATGTCTCCGCGTCCCCGCTTGTGCTGCGCGTCCATGAAGAGCCTGGATTTCTCATCCCCAAAGTCCACGTCATCGCCGCAGCCTCCCCATTCCCAGGCGGCGCTGCCTTCAGGGGAGCCCCCCGGGCCTGGAGGCCCAGGGGTGCCCAGCAGGCCAGGGGGCCGAGGAGGGACGCGCCCACGGGGCGCCTGGCAGCCACACTGCAGCAGTTCGCCCAGGGAGCAGGCCTGAGTGACCGCGTGGCTGGCGCCCGCCGCCGTAATAGCAAACACGAAGGCCGTTTCCCGAATGTCTGTGGGTGCAGGGATGGGCATCAGCGGGCAGGACCAGAGCTGGGTAGTGGGGGTCTGCGGTGGGTGGGTGGGGTGGCATGGCGTGGGGTTGGCATGGTCAGAGGAGGGTGTGGAGACCTGGGTGGGGCCAAGTGTTCCCAACCTTGCCCTATCCTCCAGCCGCCCCCCCAGGAGGGAGAAAGTGTCCCACCCCCAAGACCCCTTCCCACACTGACCCTGTTGCAGTATGCGCCCAAAGGCCTTGCTGTGGCTGGAGCAATTCCAGCGACGGAAACGGAATTGGAACTGACACTCTCGCACCCCGAGCCGGGCTCCGCGGGCCAACTCGGCCACCACTTCTGGCTCCTCCTGGCACAACTCGGCCTGCCGCCCCGCCAGCCGCCTGGCCTTCCGACAGATGTTAGTGGGATCCATGACCAGCGGGCTGCCCACGGCCCTGGGGACAGAGAGAGTGCGTCAGGGGGTCGCTGGCTCCATCTCTCCTCTGCCATTGGCCGGGGACCGTGTCCAAGGGTCTCCAGGACAGTCCAGAAATGTTTCTTGGGGGTGGGGAACGAACAGAAAACAGAAGAGGGTGCCAGAGTAGGTCCTCGGGTGAAGTGGCCCCTTCCTCGAGATTCCCTGGTCAGGGCCCCTTCTTAGGGAGCCCAGGTGTTATAATGGTGTCACTTGGGCTGTGACCATCGAGGTCAGCAGTTCTCAGGCACCAGCCCCTCCACGGGGAAGAAGACTGGACTTTCTACTCCTGTAGGCAGTTACAGTCTCAAAACTCACAGGGGCAGTTCCTCCCTGACTGAGTTGAATGGCAGTGAGCAAGAGTCCCTTCTAAACTAGATTCTGGCTGATCATTGCTGTAGAGCAAAGAGTCCACCATTTCTAGGCACTGTGTCTGTACACTCACTGCCCTCCAGTCAATGTGGGCACCTAGTGAGGCTACAGGAACAGGGTAGAACTTCTCTACTCCAGGAGTTGAAAACCCCATCTTTCTACTGGGGGGCTGCTGCTGATTGCCAGCAGAGGACCTTGCAGATAGCAGTCCAATGCCTCACCATTACCCCACCCACCCACCCAACAACAACAACCAGGGCTCCTTGGGGCTGTCCGAGCTTTCTGTGATAAGGCCTTCAAATAAATGCAATAAGTAAACAAATAAAATGATACCTTACTGCCATCAATCTAATGACACCGGACTTGGATTTGACTACCAAATAAAGCCAGGTTCAAAGACAGCCAAGGAAGACATTAACAGAAGGAAGTTCAAGACTGGCAAAGAAAAGAAAGCAGGGTCCTAAAGAGTGAAGCGGGAAGTGTGGCAGGGGAGAGGGGGAGGAGGGGGGAGGGGGGAACCGCTGGCCTCAGCGACCCACTTGCTGGACAGCCCTAATGCTAGCAGGCAGGGGGCAATTCTGGGGCTACGGAAAGCCTTTCTGCTTCTTGGAGCTATGGGAAGTCCTCCTTAGTTGCTTTTGGCCAGAGCCCCAGATGTACAGCAGGCTTCCAGAGCTGAGGGGGCAAAAGCAAGACATGTAGGGAGGGAGGGAGAACCTAGCACAAAACCTCAGGGAAGTCCGGGAATGCTGAGAGAAGTAGGGAATGGAGTGTCTGAGAAAAGGCTAAGGCTCTCTTTCCACAAAATGGAAGGCTGCCCCCCACCCCCCACCGAGGTCCTGAGCTTGTCTGTCTTCCTGAACTCCACAGCAAGAGGAAGGAGTCAGGGGCTGAATCTCCGGAGCATTGTTATGAAGTAGGTGATAGTGACCTTCTCCTACTCCAGGGCCTGCAGTGTGTGTGGGGTGGGGTAGGGGGGTGTTACCCATTGGGCTGCAACCAAATGGTCAGCAGTTCAAAACCACCAGCAGCTCCAAGGGAGACAGACTAGGCTCTCTACTCCCGTAAGCAGATGCAGTCTTGGAAGTCCACAAGGGGTCACTATGAGTCAGCACTGACGCCATGGTAGTGAGCTGGGCTTTTGAGGGAGCCCTTGTCTGGACATGTCCCTGAGATTCCTGTCTTCTAGGAACGAGGGGTTCAGGGGTCATTTGAGACCACTCTGGGTGAGGAGAGGTGGCACTAACAAGAGACAGAAAATATAGGGGGAAATGGTGTTCGATGGGTGCCGAAGGTCAAGGTGGCCTCCTTTTCTATTTTGCTGTAGTTCCTATGCCCCATTGTCCCCATTTGCTGCTCAGGCACAAGCATGTTCTAGTTCTGCAATGAGAGGAAATAGCAGCAAGAGGAATTTGGGTCTTGTATAGACCTTCTGAACAGTAAAGCGTGAAAAGCTTGAAGAGGCAAGCTTAGCTCTCGAAGGTTTCTCTCTCTCTTTTACACACACACACACACACACACACACACACACACACACACACAACCTGCCAGGTCACTGTTATTACCCCTGTCCAAGTGGTTCAAGAACTGACGTTCTCTCCTCAGTGGTGAGCTTTCTTCCCCTATCTCCTTAGCACTGGCTCCCAAACTATTCCCAACCTGAGAAAAGTGATAGATGGAACAGTGAGACGTGGGCCAAGGGTAGGGCAGTCCAAGCTGACTCCCAATGGCCCAGTGACATTCCAGAGTTGATGGTGGATCTCTGAGGAGTCCCGATGATGTGATCAGCAGCTGGGACCCACCAGCTGCTCTACAGGAGAAAGATGTGGTACTCTGTCCTGTAATGTGGGAAACTAACAATTGCCAATCCCACAGATTCTCCCCTGACAGCTATGTTGCCTTACAGTGAGCACATGGTTGATTCTGTCTCCCTGTAGAAGTAGACAGAATGATCTACTCTGATGATCTCCTCCTGTCTCCTAGGCACCCACCCATCCGCCCTCATGCCCTCCCCCAATGCAGGTATTAGGTTTCCTCACCTGTGACCTCAGGGACTTTCCTGTGATTACCACCCACCTTGTGATGGATATAACTCCTGAATATGCATGACTAATGACTACCTGTAAAAGCCCCCAAATAATAACATCTCTCTTTCTCTCTCTCTGGCCCTGTCCCCTCTCCTCTGGTCCTCCTTCCCCTCTCTCCCACCTTCCTGCTCCTTCCCTCTCCCCTTTCTCTCCTGCCCTTTCCTCCTCCCACATCCCCACAGTGGACTATCAAGAAAGGCTGAGGTGAGCATGCTACTATGAAATGTGTCTGACACCTTTATTTTACTCTCTCTCCTATCTCTTTTATTCTCTATGACTTTACTATAATCTTTATGATATAGTATAGCTGTGCAATTGTGCCTACCAGACCCGTGATTACTTGTGAGAGGCTGGTTCCACTCACACTGTAAAGATGACATTGTTGTTATTTTGAGAGGCCATCAAGTCGGGTTTGACTCAGAGCGACCCTGTGCACAACAGAAGGAAACACTGCCTGGTCCTGCACCTGCGCCCTCCTCACAATTGTTCCTATGCCGAGCCCATTGCTGAAGCCACTGGGTCAACCCATCTTGTTGAGGGTCTTCCTCTTTTTTGCTGCCCCTCTATTTTACCAAGGATGCTGTCCTTCTCCAGGGGTTGATCACTCCTGACAACATGTTCAAAAGATTACATTACACCCTTGGAAATTCTATGAGGCATTTTGACTCTGTCCTGTAGGGTCAAGATGAACCCAAATATACTCAATGGCTTAGGGTTTGATTTTTTTTTAATCTACCATTTCTAGACATATAGACACACATTAATTAGGTAAATAGATATTTCTGTCTATCTTTCATCTGCCACCCCACCACCACCCCCATCCACCTATTTCATCTCATCACAAAAGAATTTTCGAGGGCTTGTACATGGGCAATAGATGGGTAAGGTTGTACAGGTACAAGTTGTATATGGCTGTACAGGGCTCGTAGGGAAGAGTGTTGGGAGCATCCGATTTCCCCTGATCTCTTTTAGCAGATTTCTTAATACTAGCAGATTAATTAATTTCTTAATTCATATTTCCCCCATTTTAATTGTGAAAACCTGCATATGAATAATTGACATAATAGTATCTCACTGCCACCCAATTGATTTTGACTCACAGCAACCCTATAGGAAAAATGTCTAACTGCCACTATCGGTTTCCAAAGCTTTAAATCTTTTAGCAGACAGCTTCATTTTTCTCCCGAGGATCGGCTAGTAGGTTTGAAATACTGACCTTCTGGTTATCAGTGCAATGTGCAACCCACTACATCACCAAGGCTCCTAACATAATAGTATAGTGAGCACCATTTAATTCATGGTGTTTGAATGAGTGAATGAATGAACAATTGCATGAGCCATCTAAGGAAGAGGTCCTTACTTGGGCCCAGCCTTTGCTTATCCTTTTGTTATTTTATGACTGACTCCTAATCAGTTTCCTGTCCCCCACTGGAATTCAGAAGTAGGGTAGAAGGCTTCTTCCCAAGCTGTCCAGCTCTCTCCTGCCACCTATCTAGCTGGCTAGGACCCCACTTGCAAGTCTGGGGCTCAGCAAGCCCTGCCACTCCCACACCCCATGGCTCTAAGTTTTCTCTTCCCCCATCCCAACTCCCACACTTCATGTCCCTAACCCCTACCCCACCAACTCCCTACTTTCCCAAGGTTAACTGGCCTTATCTTCCCAAGGTTACAGTGCCCCATCCCTCTCTACTCCCTCCCTCCTTCATCTCACCTCCCTGGGAAATCCAGAGGAGGCAGGGGCGCTGGAAGAAGAAAGGGGTAAACCTCTTGACCTTGTCTGTTTCTCAGAGGAGCTAGAGATAGGAGTCTGAAGGGTAGGGCCTGGGAGTGGGAGACAAAGGGAGGAAAGGAGGCAGAGGCTGGGCAGGCCTTTCTTGGGGTCAGGGTCAGGGGCGTTGCCCCAGAGCTAGTTCTTGGTCAGGATCTGGCTCCCCAGGCTGCTGACTGCCTGGGAACTGGCCTTGTTTATGAGCTGGGCAGGAGGAGGGATGGGCAGGAGTAGCAGTCAGAATCCCAAGGGACCAGTTTGCTCCCTGCCCTCCTGTCCTCACTCCCATCCTAAAGTCATCGGAAAGGAAACTCCAGAAGGGGAGGGGCACTGGGGCATCCAGCAGCCCAACCTTGTGATGCTGCCATCAGCTGAGTAAGCTGAGCCACACGGGGCAGGTGGTCCCCTGCTCAGGGCTTCAGAAAAACAAGAGGGCCCTCACAGCTTCCCTCCTCCAACACTTGACTCCACAAGAGAACTCCCCAACCTCACCATCTCCTCCCATCTTTCTCTGCTGCTTCCGGAGGGAGAGAATGGGCTGTTTTCTGGGCCTCATGGTGGAGTCAGCATTGACCCAAGATCATCCTAGAACTGTGCCCTTTTGAGGGCATGTGCGTACCCAGGGGAAGACACAGCAGTGGTATGGAACGTGGAAGTAAAACCTGGGATTCTAATCCCACAGCCATTCTTGGGCAAAGGAAAAAATGAGCCAGTCCTAAAAGAAATGAGCATGCAGACAAGAAGGGACAAGCCAAGGGGTGGCCATTTTAACTGGCCAGGCCTGTGTCTAGAATTTTCTCTCCAGAAACATGTTTGATGGCAGTATGGGGGGTCAGGAGCAGAGTGAGGTGGTATTAGGAGCCAGCCAGTTTTTATTGGGCAACCTCTGTGAACCTCAATCTTGGTTAGGCCCCAGGGTTTGGGCCTGACCTACCATTCTGTCTCTGGGCTCAGAGGGCCTAAGAGAAGGCCAGTGATTATGGCGTGCAGTCCAGCCCTGTTTTACAGATGAGCTCTATGGGAGGGGGTGATTGACCCCAGACACTCCATGGTGGGCATCCAATGCAAGAAAAGTTAGGTGCATATTAAAAAAGCTAAATGTGAGTGGCTCCTTTTTCAAAGACAACACTTTCTACTCCCCTAAAAATTTATATATAAACTGGGGGGAAGAAAGAGTTACAGTCTCAGAAACCCACATAGTGAAGGGTCACTGTGAGTTGGAATCAACTTTATGGGAGTGAGCTGTTGAAATGGGGTTGGAGAGAAAGGACATTAAGGAGCAGACCCCAGGTGGCCTCACACACCTTTCAGTTCTCACTCCTAGCTCTTGGTCAACCTCTGAATCCCTCCCATATCACACAGTCACTCCCCTTCATATCCATAACTGCAAGGTCACCAGTTTGAAACCACTAGCTGCTCCCTGGAAGAGAGATGAGGTTTTCTACTCCCATAAACAATCAAAAGTCTCTGAAAACAAGAGAAGTGGTTCTAGCCTGTCTTATAGCATCACTTTGAGTCAGCATCGATTTGATGGCAGAGGGTTGGGTTGGGTTTGTGTTTAAAGTAGACTCTGATGCATGGTGAGCCCACATGCTATGGAGCACAACTGTCTCCTAGGGTTCTCTTGGCTGTAAGCTTGACAGAAGCTGAGCACCAGGTCTGCCTTCCTTCCTTCCACTGGGTAGGTTTGAACTGCCAACCTCTGGGTTAGCAGTGAATCACAAACCATTTGTGCTGCCTGGGGACCTTCCACACTCTTGGGTCAGCAGGCTCTTAGCCCAGCTTCTCTAAGACCTCCCTTCAAACCTCATGCCCCCTAAGGAGCAGCATTGGAATACTTAACCAGCAAAGTAACCAAGGGCTTCCTTGTGCTTTTTGACTGATCTGTAGTGAACAGTGCCACATGGGGATGTGGTGAGAAGTACCTGTGAAACTGTTCGAGACAGATCAGTCCGGAAGCACAAGTAAGCCTGTGCTGACCTCGCTTGTTGGGTGATGTGCCCTGCTAAGGACCTGTACCCAGCTCACTGAGTTTGCTCAACACTCACTCCTGATACTGTGAGACTGCTTGTTGCCTGGCCAGTAGCATAGTGGAGTTTTCCTGTTTGCTTGACTTAGTTCTCCCATAAGATGGAACGAGCAGGAGGACCCAGGCTATCAACTCAGAGCTTTGGGATCTAATAGACGTGAGTTTAAATCCAGGTTCTGCCCTTTGCTTGTTTGTAACCCGTTGAGCAGGAGCCTGGTGGCCTAATGATTAAGCACTCAGACTCCAACAAGCTTGAGGCCAGTGGTTTGAACTCGCCAGCCACTGTTTGCTTCTGTAAACACCTTGGAAACCTGTGAAGGCAGCTCTGTTCTGTCCTTGTAGGCTCACTGTCAGTTACCACAGGACTGGGTGGCAGTGGGTTATGATGCTGAACATGTCCTGAGTCCGGAGAAGTTGACACTCAGGAAGTATTTGTTGAATGGTGAGCCGTTCAGCTTGGGAGAGGAAATGGTGAAAGAGCGTCGACTTCCTGGGTTCCACGTGCAGAGCCAGCCCAAAGAGGCAGCTTCTTGCTGAGTTTTTGACTTCTCATTCACACCCTTCTCTTGGGCAGAGGAACAGAAGGGATTCCCAAGAACACCCACTTCAACTCTGCCTGACTTTCTTGGCCTGTGCCATCCTATCAAAGCTTGCCCAGGGACCAGCGCACCCTCTAGGATCCCTCCTCCTCCCCACTGGGCACTGCTGGATGGATTTCCGAGGCCAGACAGTGCCCCCTGAAGGGTCCCAGAGTCAGCGCCCTTCCCCCAAGGTTCCTAGTCTGACCCCACCTCCCAGGAACCAGCAGAGGGAGCCCTGAGCCCTGGGGCTGTGGGTGGGGGCTGCGCAGGGGTGGGGGAGGTGGGTGGTGGAGAAGGGGCAGAAAAATGTTGCCTGGCGGCTGCGAGGCGGCTGAGCCCAGGCCTGTGCCCGCCCGCCTGTCCCGTCCTGCTCTGTCTAACTCGGTAATTACCACTCCCCCTTCCCCAGCCCCTACCCCCAGCCCAACCACAACATCAAAGGCCGAGATGCCCCCACTCCATTAACCCCTGCCTCCCCACCGCCCACCAAGTGCCCCCCCCTCCCACTCCTCCTCCTCCTTGCCTGACCCAATTTGGTTCCCTCTGCCTGTCCTGATCGCTGCCCTAGCTCTAGCTCGCGTCCCCTCCCATCCCCGGCTGCTCCTCGCTGGCTCCGGAGAGGCGGGGCTTCTCCTGGCCTGGTCAACTCCACCATGCACCTCCCCATCGGCTACGGCTGGGGTTGGGGGGCCTCCACTGCTCCTTGAGGGGATCCTCCTTCTGCTCTTCCTTACTGGTGGGTGCGGGGCATCTGAAGGCGGTGGTGAGAAGACTGAAGGGGCCGCTGTGTGTCTGTGTGTGCTGGGAGTGAGGGACAGGATCCTGTACCTCTTTCCTGCTCTGCCACCCCCTCTCCACATAGCAGGAGGCAGACACCAGCATTCTGGGTGGCCTTGGACAAGTTACCTCCTGTCCCCGGCCGTGGTGCCCTCCCGAGGCCGATGCTCTCGAAGAAGGCCCTTCTCGGGTGGGTCTCCTTTCGAGATGAAAACGAGGGCTTGGGCCTCGAGGGGGTATCCCGTGTGGCCAGGTGGACCAGGGAAGTTCGAGGCCTTTCCAGGGCTCAGCTTCTCCCCGCAGCAGTCCCGGAGAGGCACGTGAGGCTGCGCCCCCACCTCCACCCGCCTGTGGGAAAGCGGGCCCAGCTACAGGGCGCCCTCCCGCGTCAGGCGGCGGAGGAACACCCTGCGCAGTGTCCGCAACCCAGGCTCTCCTCTGGGCACCGGTACCGCGCCCGCTCCCAGCCCGCTTGCGCCGCGCGCTCCACGCAGCTTCGAGGCCCTCTCGCAGCGCCCCCTCTGGAATCACACCCGCCACCCCTCTCCCCTCCCCCCCATGATCGAACTCTCCAAGGCCCTCTCCACTGGCTCCAGATTTCCGAGGAGAACGGGGCAGCAGGGGGCTGCACCCCCCAGGAAATGACATGGTGCCAGGACTCGGGTGGGCTGGGGCATGCTCGGGGCCGGGGTGCGCCAGCCTCCTGTGCCCCTGCCCTTTTCCGCTCACAGCCCTATTGTCTCCCTTCAGGGGAAGCTGCCAAGGCCGGAGGCCTAGAGTGGGGAATGGAAGGCCACCCCACACCCCATCGCACTGCACCCCACCCCACCCTTCGCTCTGCGGGGGAGGGGCAGCAAGAGAACTGCTCAAGAAGTGCCAGGGGCTCCAGAGAAAGGCCCAGCCTGGGATGGGGGGTGGGATCCCAGTTGGAAAAGCTGAGGACCAGGATGAAGCCTGGGTCCTTTCCCTACCTCCCTGGGTGGGGGTGGGGCTGGGACCAGGCTGTCCTAGTCCTAAGCTTCTTGGTTTCTTCTCCGTAAATGAAAGAGGGAGGGGTGCTAAGTGCAAGATGAGAGGGGTGGGGAGCGGGGAGGGAGGAACGCGACTGGGTTGTGTTTTTCCGAGTGAAACCGGGGAGGGTTCTTCACTCTCACTGAACATATAAACCAAAAAGAGGAAGAGAGAAGAGGGGAGGTTGATTTGGCTATTTTGGGGACAGTGAGCTATTTTCTGAGTCCAGCGATTGAAGGTATAAATAAAAGACGGGACAGACATGGAGGATTACTTCCTGGGGAAAGTTGGGGTGGGGTAGGGGAGCAGGGAACAGGGAACAAGGGTGGAGGAGATGGGAGCTGGTGACCAGGAAGTCATACCCTCTCTGCCTCACACTCCAGAGGAGGTCTGCCAGGGCCAGGTGGCCCGGAGGCAGTGGGCTGGACAAAAGGACCTCAAGAGGCCTGGCTGATATCCTAGAATCTGAGATTCACAGAGATAAGACTACAGATGGGATAGACAGGCAGAGAGGCCTGAGGCAGAGCTTAGAAAGCAGGCAATTGGGGGAAGAAGGCAGAGAGAGGATGAAGGTGGAAGGTAAGTTCTCTGGAACCTGGAGCCCTCTTTGGGAGCAGGTTCTGGAGCATGGGCCACTCCTTTCCAAGACCCTCCCACCTAAACAGGAGTGTTGAGCCATCTGCTAGCATTTCAGAAAGGGTTGCCCTAGCTGTTGGGGCTCTTTTCCTGGGCACCACTGGAGCTGCAGCCTGACTGGGGCCAGCCAGTCTGTCCTAGACAGCAGGCCCCTGGCCCGAACCCTCTCTGAAGTGGGATGGGCAGTGGCAGAAGGGAGGTGGGGGTGGTGGGAGGGGGTGGGAGGCAGGCAGGTAAGCAGTCACCAATTCTTAAAGGACCAAAGGAATGAAGCCTCAGAGAT